GACTACGGTGGAGTGTCAGCAGCTCCAGGGTTCCTCTGTGTCCACATCACTGTGGACTAGTATTAATTTCGTCAGCTATTTTTTTATTTAGTTTTAGTCTTAGTCCTGTGTTAAATTTGACCCGACTCATCACTGAGGACCTGACATGGACTCATCACTGAGGATCTGACTCATCACTGAGGAACTGACTCATCACTGAGGAACTGACTCATCACTGAGGATCTGACTCATCACTGAGGATCTGACTCATCACTGAGGACCTGACATGGACTCATCACTGAGGACCTGACTCATCACCGAGAACCTGACATGGACTCACCACTGAGGACCTGACTCATCACTGAGGACCTGACATGGACTCGTCACTGAGGACCTGACATGGACTCGTCACTGAGGACCTGACATGGACACGTCACTGAGGACCTGACATGGACTCGTCACTGAGGACCTGACATGGACTCGTCACTGAGGACCTGACATGGACTCGTCACTGAGGACCTGACATGGACACATCACTGAGGACCTGACATGGACACATCACTGAGGACCTGACATGGACTCGTCACTGAGGACCTGACATGGACTCGTCACTGAGGACCTGCATGGACTCGTCACTGAGGACCTGACATGGACACATCACTGAGGACCTGACATGGACTCGTCACTGAGGACCTGACATGGACTTATCACTGAGGACGTGACATGGACTCGTCACTGAGGACCTGACATGGACTCATCACTGAGGACGTGACATGGACTCGTCACTGAGGACCTGACATGGACACGTCACTGAGGACCTGACATGGACTCGTCACTGAGGATCTGACATGGACTCATCACTAAGGACCTGACATGGACTCGTCACTGAGGACCTGACATGGACTCATCACTGAGGACCTGATATGGACTCATCACTGAGGATCTGACTCATCACTGAGGACCTGACTCATCACTGAGGATCTGACTCATCACTAAGTACCTGACATGGACTCATCACCGAGGACCTGACTCATCACCGAGGACCTGACATGGACTCATCACTGAGGACCTGACATGGACTCATCACTGAGGACCTGACTCATCACTGAGGAACTGACTCATCACTGAGGACCTGACTCATCACTGAGGATCTGACATGGACTCATCACTGAGGATCTGACTCATCACTGAGGACCTGACTCATCACTGAGGATCTGACTCATCACTACGTACCTGACATGGACTCATCACTGAGGACCTGACTCATCACTGAGGATCTGACATGGACTCATCACTGAGGATCTGACTCATCACTGAGGATCTGACTCATCACTGAGGACCTGACTCATCACTGAGGACCTGACTCATCACTGAGGATCTGACCTGGACCCCTCCTCGACTCCTCCATTCCCTCACTCGTGTCCCTTCCTTGCGTCTTAGCTCCGCCTCCGTAAGATGTGAGCGAGAGACACGAGGTGGTGACGCGAGGACAGAGGAGTCCTCAGGTATTAATTGGGATGTCCTCGTTCACTCAAACGTCACTCTTAAACGACATCTGTTAATGATGACATGTGCACAGCTGTATCCCGTCTCATCGGGCTTCACTGAAGAACCCTTTAGAACCGGCCTATTTCTGGTTAAATATTTATTTAAATGAATGAATCGTTCTCTTCAAGGAATTCAATGTATGATGGTTGGTCCTGCTTTGGTGTTCCGTTTTGGTGTAAAATGTAGCCTACATTTAAATACAAATATAATGATAGTAATGTGAAAGCCTTACTCTCAAAATATGTGTCCTGTAGATCCCTACATTCAGGACTGTGAATTTTAAATAATTTAACTCCCGAATATTTTAACACAAAACAATACAAATAATTGTTATTTATCAAGATCTAGCCATTTATGAAATAGCTTTCTTAATAGCTATGTTTTAGTGACGTTCAAGATCATTAAACATGACTTAAATTGTTAGTATAACCTTAAGAAATGAATTGCACATAATCATTCCCACGGAGCTGTGAGCACTTATACATTTATGTGACGCTTTTCCGCTCATCTTCCAGTTGTCGGTTTTCCTCTGTTGAAATGGACCAGCTGTGAAGGTGGGGGCGGGGCTTTTATACGCGAGTAGTAAAAACACTTCTGCGTAGTCTGCTTGCGTGTATCCTCCCTTTCGTCTCCTCCCGCACCCCTCCTCCCTCACGCCTCCTCCCTCACCCCTCCTCCCGCACCCCTCCGTGTGCATTTCAGCTATTGGGACGTCCTTCAAAATGGCGTGTCTTGATCGATTTCCGGGTCATGTCCCGGAGGAGGGGAAGAGAGGAGTCGAGGAGGGGTATTGGGATGAGGCTAACGACTCATCACTGAGGCCCCTCTTAACGAGTCTCACCTGTCTCCCTGTCAACGAGTCTCACCTGTCTCCCTGTCAACGAGTCTCACCTGTCCCCCTCTTAACGAGTCTCACCTGTCTCCCTGTCAACGAGTCTCACCTGTCTCCCTGTCAACGAGTCTCACCTGTCCCCCTCTTAACGAGTCTCACCTGTCCCCCACTTAACGAGTCTCACCTGTCCCCCTGTTAACGAGTCTCACCTGTCTCCCTGTTAACGATTCTCACCTGTCCCCCTCTTAACGAGTCTCACCTGTCCCCCTGTTAACGAGTATCACCTGTCCCCCTCTTAACGAGTCTCACCTGTCCCCCTCTTAACAAGTCTCACCTGTCTCCCTGTTAACGAGTCTCACCTGTCCCCCTCTTAACGAGTCTCACCTGTCTCCCTGTTAACGAGTATCACATGTCCCCCTGTTAACGAGTCTCACCTGTCCCCCTCTTCAACGAGTATCACCTGTCCCCCAGTTAACGAGTCTCACCTGTCCCCCAGTTAAATAGTCTCACCTGTCCCCCAGTTAACGAGTCTCACCTGTCCCCCAGTTAACGAGTCTCACCTGTCCCCCTCTTAACGAGTCTCACCTGTCCCCCAGTTAACGAGTCTCACCTGTCCCCCTCTTAACGAGTCTCACCTGTCCCCCTCTTAACGAGTCTCACCTGTCTCCCTGTTAACGAGTCTCACCTGTCCCCCTCTTAACGAGTCTCACCTGTCTCCCTGTTAACGAGTCTCACATGTCCCCCTGTTAACGAGTCTCACCTGTCCCCCTCTTCAACGAGTCTCACCTGTCCCCCTGTTAACGAGTCTCACCTGTCCCCCTGTTAACGAGTCTCACCTGTCCCCCAGTTAACGAATCTCACCTGTCCCCCAGTTAACGAGTCTCACCTGTCCCCCAGTTAACGAGTCTCACCTGTCCGCCAGTTAACGAGTCTCACCTGTGCCCCAGTTAACGAGTCTCACCTGTCCCCCAGTTAACGAGTCTCACATGTCTCCCAGTTAACGAGTCTCACCTGTCCCCCTCTTAACGAGTCTCACCTGTCCCCCAGTTAACGAGTCTCACCTGTCCCCCTCTTAACGAGTCTCACCTGTCCCCCTCTTAACTTGTCTCACCTGTCCCCAGTTAACGAGTCTCACCTGTCCCCCTGTTAACGAGTCTCACCTGTGCCCCAGTTAACGAATCTCACCTGTCCCCCAGTTAACGAGTCTCACCTGTCCCCCAGTTAACGAGTCTCACCTGTCTCCCTGTTAACGAGTCTCACCTGTCCCCCTCTTAATGAGTCTCACCTGTCCCCCAGTTAACGAGTCTCACCTGTCCCCCAGTTAACGAGTCTCACCTGTCCCCCTCTTAACGAGTCTCACCTGTCTCCCAGTTAACGAGTCTCACCTGTCCCCCTCTTAACGAGTCTCACCTGTCTCCCAGTTAACGAGTCTCCCCTCTTCATCAATATACACCAATTAGCACGTGCAGTATGTCAGGGCTCAAGAATCAGATAAAACCAAAAAGGAAAAAAAACAACTACACTTTATTCAAAATTCTTTGTACAAAACACACACAGGAAGTGTCTACATGCGGCAGGTGTCGTGAAACGCCTCCAGAGTCCTGAAGTCTCTCCAGGTGGGAGGAAGTCCGTCCTGTAGGAACCGTCCACAGCGCTGACAGGGAGACTGGAACAGCTTTATGTAGCTCCGCAACCAGGTCTGAGAGACAAGAGAGAGACAGGTTAATGTAGCTCCGCAACCAGGTCTGAGAGACAGGTTTATGTAGCTCCGCAAACCAGGTCTGAGAGACAAGAGAGAGACAAGTTAATGTAGCTCCACAACCAGGTCTGAGAGACAAGAGAGAGACAGGTTAATGTAGCTCCGCAACCAGGTCTGAGAGACAAGAGAGAGACAGGTTAATGTAGCTCCGCAACCAGGTCTGAGAGACAAGAGAGAGACAGGTTTATGTAGCTCCGCAAACCAGGTCTGAGAGACAAGAGAGAGACAAGTTAATGTGAGACAAGAGAGAGACAGGTTAATGTAGCTTCGCAACCAGGTCTGAGAGACAAGAGAGAGACAAGTTAATGTAGCTCTGCAACCAGGTCTGAGAGACAAGAGAGAGACGGGTTAATGTAGCTTCGCAACCAGGTCTGAGAGACAAGAGAGAGACAAGTTAATGTAGCTCTGCAACCAGGTCTGAGAGACAAGAGAGAGACGGGTTAATGTAGCTTCGCAACCAGGTTTGAGAGTCAAGAGAGAGACAGGTTAATGTAGCTTCGCAACCAGGTCTGAGAGACAAGAGAGAGACAGGTTAATGTAGCTCTGCAACCAGGTCTGAGAGACAAGAGAGAGACAGGTTAATGTAGCTCTGCAACCAGGTCTGAGAGACAAGAGAGAGACAGGTTAATGTGAGACAAGAGAGAGACAGGTTAATGTAGCTCTGCAACCACGTCTGAGAGACAAGAGAGAGACAGGTTAATGTAGCTCTGCAACCAGGTCTGAGAGACAAGAGAGAGACAGGTTAATGTAGCTCTGCAACCAGGTCTGAGAGACAAGAGAGAGACAGGTTAATGTGAGACAAGAGAGAGACAGGTTAATGTAGCTTCGCAACCAGGTCTGAGAGACAAGAGAGAGACAAGTTAATGTAGCTCTGCAACCAGGTCTGAGAGACAAGAGAGAGACGGGTTAATGTAGCTTCGCAACCAGGTCTGAGAGACAAGAGAGAGACAAGTTAATGTAGCTCTGCAACCAGGTCTGAGAGACAAGAGAGAGACGGGTTAATGTAGCTTCGCAACCAGGTTTGAGAGTCAAGAGAGAGACAGGTTAATGTAGCTTCGCAACCAGGTCTGAGAGACAAGAGAGAGACAGGTTAATGTAGCTCTGCAACCAGGTCTGAGAGACAAGAGAGAGACAGGTTAATGTAGCTCTGCAACCAGGTCTGAGAGACAAGAGAGAGACAGGTTAATGTGAGACAAGAGAGAGACAGGTTAATGTAGCTCTGCAACCACGTCTGAGAGACAAGAGAGAGACAGGTTAATGTAGCTCTGCAACCAGGTCTGAGAGACAAGAGAGAGACAGGTTAATGTAGCTCTGCAACCAGGTCTGAGAGACAAGAGTGAGACAGGTTAATGTGAGACAAGAGAGAGACAGGTTAATGTAGCTCTGCAACCACGTCTGAGAGACAAGAGAGAGACAGGTTAATGTAGCTCTGCAACCAGGTCTGAGAGACAAGAGAGAGACAGGTTAATGTAGCTCTGCAACCAGGTCTGAGAGACAGGTTGATCTAGGGACAGAGAGAAAACAGACAGGTAGAGACAGACAGCTAGAGACTCACCATGAAGGATCGTACCACCACGTCGGGCATCTGGGGGAGCTGGTAGTGCAGCAGGGCGGTGGTGGCGTGGTCCGTTACCTAGCAACAACACAACCAATTGGATCCCTTTCAACACCGAAAAACAACAACAACAACGACGGGGGACTGTAATGTTGCTTTTACTCACTATAAGCCGGAGTAAATTAAAGAACGATTTCTCCAACTTTCTACCCTGAGACTGTCTCTCAGCGGCTGAGACATCTATCAGTGTCTCTCAGCGGCTGAGACATCTATCAGTGTCTCTCAGCGGCTGAGACATCTACCAGTCTGTCTCTCAGCGGCTGAGACATCTATTAGTGTCTCTCAGCGGCTGAGACATCTATCAGTCTGTCTCTCAGCAGCTGAGACATCTATCAGTGTCTCTCAGCGGCTGAGACATCTATCAGTCTGTCTCTCAGCAGCTGAGACATCTATCAGTGTCTCTCAGCGGCTGAGACATCTATCAGTCTGTCTCTCAGCGGCTGAGACATCTATCAGTCTGTCTCTCAGCGGCTGAGACATCTATCAGTGTCTCTCAGCGGCTGAGACATCTATCAGTCTGTCTCTCAGCGGCTGAGACATCTATCAGTGTCTCTCAGCGGCTGAGACATATATCAGTCTGTCTCTCAGCGGCTGAGACATCTATCAGTCTGTCTCTCAGCGGCTGAGACATCTATCAGTGTCTCTCAGCGGCTGAGACATCTATCAGTCTGTCTCTCAGCAGCTGAGACATCTATCAGTGTCTCTGAGCGGCTGAGACATCTATCAGTGTCTCTCAGCGGCTGAGACATCTATCAGTCTGTCTCTCAGCGGCTGAGACATCTATCAGTGTCTCTCAGCGGCTGAGACATCTATCAGTGTCTCTCAGCGGCTGAGACATCTATCAGTGTCTCTCAGCGGCTGAGACATCTATCAGTCTGTCTCTCAGCGGCTGAGACATCTATCAGTGTCTCTCAGCGGCTGAGACATCTATCAGTCTGTCTCTCAGCAGCTGAGACATCTATCAGTGTCTCTCAGCGGCTGAGACATCTATCAGTGTCTCTCAGCGGCTGAGACATCTATCAGTCTGTCTCTCAGCGGCTGAGACATCTATCAGTGTCTCTCAGCGGCTGAGACATCTATCAGTCTGTCTCTCAGCGGCTGAGACATCTATCAGTCTGTCTCTCAGCAGCTGAGACATCTATCAGTGTCTCTCAGCGGCTGAGACATCTATCAGTCTGTCTCTCAGCGGCTGAGACATCTATCAGTGTCTCTCAGCGGCTGAGACATCGATCAGTGTCTCTCAGCGGCTGAGACATCTATCAGTGTCTCTCAGCGGCTGAGACATCTATCAGTGTCTCTCAGCGGCTGAGACATCTATCAGTGTCTCTCAGCGGCTGAGACATCTATCAGTGTCTCTCAGCGGCTGAGACATCTATCAGTCTGTCTCTCAGCGGCTGAGACATCTATCAGTGTCTCTCAGCGGCTGAGACATCTATCAGTGTCTCTCAGCAGCTGAGACATCTATCAGTCTGTCTCTCAGCGGCTGAAACATCTATCAGTCTGTCTCTCAGCGGCTGAAACATCTATCAGTCTGTCTCTCAGCGGCTGAAACATCTATCAGTCTGTCTCTCAGCGGCTGAGACATCTATCAGTGTCTCTCAGCAGCTGAGACATCTATCAGTCTGTCTCTCAGCGGCTGAAACATCTATCAGTCTGTCTCTCAGCGGCTGAAACATCTATCAGTCTGTCTCTCAGCGGCTGAGACATCTATCAGTCTGTCTCTCAGCGGCTGAGACATCTATCAGTGTCTCTCAGCGGCTGAGACATCTATCAGTCTGTCTCTCAGCGGCTGAGACATCTATCAGTCTGTCTCTCAGCGGCTGAGACATCTATCAGTGTCTCTCAGCGGCTGAGACATCTATCAGTGTCTCTCAGCGGCTGAGACATCTATCAGTCTGTCTCTCAGCGGCTGAGACATCTATCAGTGTCTCTCAGCGGCTGAGACATCTATCAGTGTCTCTCAGCGGCTGAGACATCTATCAGTGTCTCTCAGCAGCTGAGACATCTATCAGTCTGTCTCTCAGCGGCTGAAACATCTATCAGTCTGTCTCTCAGCGGCTGAAACATCTATCAGTCTGTCTCTCAGCGGCTGAGACATCTATCAGTCTGTCTCTCAGCGGCTGAGACATCTATCAGTGTCTCTCAGCGGCTGAGACATCTATCAGTCTGTCTCTCAGCGGCTGAGACATCTATCAGTCTGTCTCTCAGCGGCTGAGACATCTATCAGTGTCTCTCAGCGGCTGAGACATCTATCAGTGTCTCTCAGCGGCTGAGACATCTATCAGTCTGTCTCTCAGCGGCTGAGACATCTATCAGTGTCTCTCAGCGGCTGAGACATCTATCAGTCTGTCTCTCAGCGGCTGAGACATCTATCAGTCTGTCTCTCAGCGGCTGAGACATCTATCAGTCTGTCTCTCAGCGGCTGAGACATCTATCAGTGTCTCTCAGCGGCTGAGACATCTATCAGTCTGTCTCTCAGCAGCTGAGACATCTATCAGTCTGTCTCTCAGCAGCTGAGACATCTATCAGTGTCTCTCAGCGGCTGAGACATCTATCAGTCTGTCTCTCAGCGGCTGAGACATCTATCAGTCTGTCTCTCAGCGGCTGAGACATCTATCAGTCTGTCTCTCAGCGGCTGAGACATCTATCAGTGTCTCTCAGCGGCTGAGACATCTATCAGTCTGTCTCTCAGCAGCTGAGACATCTATCAGTGTCTCTCAGCAGCTGAGACATCTATCAGTCTGTCTCTCAGCAGCTGAGACATCTATCAGTGTCTCTCAGCGGCTGAGACATCTATCAGTCTGTCTCTCAGCAGCTGAGACATCTATCAGTCTGTCTCTCAGTCTCAATGGACCTAGGATCAAAGAGTCGCTGGTATCAGATGGTGGTGTTGGCATAGCAACAGAAGCTAATCGGACTACTTGTTGTTATATTTCTGTTGGCATAGCAACAGAAGCTAATCGGACTACTTGTTGTTATATTTCTGTTGGCATAGCAACAGAAGCTAATCGGACTACTTGTTGTTATATGTCTTTATGATGTCACTGATGACGGTCTGCTACCTGCAGCCCAGGTGTTGATCCACCTGAGAGCTGCTGTCATAAAGACTGTCTTACCTTCTGGAACACCTGGTACTGAGACTTGCTCCAGATGTCCAGCTGAGGGAGAGAGAGACAGGTTACCATGAGAGAGAGAGACAGAGAGAGAGACAGACAGACAGCAGGGTCTCCTGTCTCACCTTCCCGTCCTCGGTGTAAACGTTCTCGTTGAATCCTCGAACAACAGTTCTGTCAATGAACAGCGAACGCATCACAACTATCGCCTTCAACACCTTCCCCAGAGTCACCTGAGAGACAGACAGATCGAGAGAGAGACAGGTGAGAGACAAGTAGAGACGTGTGTGTGTGTGTGTGTGTGTGTGTGTGTGTGTGTGTGTGTGTGTGTGTGTGTGTGTGTGTGTGTGTGTGTGTGTTACCAGCAGCACAGCAGACGTCCCGTTGGGTCTGAACAGCTCGATGGTCAGATCAGGAAACATCCTGCCGATCCTCGAGATGACATCATCCACGTACCTGTGCACACAATACTGCTGGGTTACTGCAGTACTATTGTATACTATAATAATAATACTGCAGTATTACATCAGTAGTACTCCGGTGGTATTAGATCAGCAGTACTCGAGTAGTATCTCATCAGTACTCTAGTAGTATCTCATCAGTACTCTAGTATCTCATCAGTACTCTAGTATCTCATCAGTACTCTAGCAGTATCTCATCAGTACTCTAGTAGTATCTCATCAGTACTCTAGTATCACATCAGTACTCTAGAAGTATCTCATCAGTACTCTAGTATATCATCAGTGCTCTAGTAGTATCTCATCAGTACTCTAGTAGTATCTCATCAGTACTCTAGTATCACATCAGTACTCTAGAAGTATCTCATCAGTACTCCAGTATCACATCAGTACTCTAGTAGTATCTCATCAGTACTCCAGTATCACATCAGTACTCTAGTAGTATCTCATCAGTACTCTAGTATCACATCAGTACTCTAGAAGTATCTCATCAGTACTCTAGAAGTATCTCATCAGTACTCTAGTATCACATTAGTACTCTAGCAGTATCTCATCAGTACTCTAGTATCACATCAGTACTCTAGTATCTCATCAGTGCTCTAGTAGTATCTCATCAGTACTCTAGTAGTATCTCATCAGTACTCTAGTATCACATCAGTACTCTAGTATCTCATCAGTACTCTAGTATCTCATCAGTGCTCTAGTAGTATCTCATCAGTACTCTAGTATCTCATAAGTACTCTAGTAGTATCTCATCAGTACTCTAGTATCACATCAGTACTCTAGTATCTCATCAGTACTCTAGTATCACATCAGTACTCTAGCAGTATCTCATCAGTACTCTAGTATCACATCAGTACTCTAGTATCTCATCAGTACTATAGCAGTATCTCGTCAGTACTCTAGCAGTATCTCATCAGTACTCTAGTATCTCATCAGTACTCTAGTATCTCATCAGTACTCTAGAAGTATCTCATCAGTACTCTAGAAGTATCTCATCAGTACTCTAGTAACACATCAGTACTCTAGTATCTCATCAGCACTCTAGTATATCATCGGTACTCTATTAGTATATCATCAGTACTCTAGAAGTATCTCATCAGTACTCTAGTATCACATCAGTACTCTAGAAGTATCTCATCAGTACTCTAGTATCTCATCAGTACTCTAGAAGTATCTCATCAGTACTCTAGTATCACATCAGTACTCTATTATCACATCAGTACTCAAGCAGTATCTCATCAGTACTCACTGAGGAGGCAGTACCAGGGTACTGGGTTGGACTTTGGGTCGTCTCTTGGCTGAAGCTCCCATCTGATTGGCCGATCGTTTGAGTGACTGCTGGTTCAACAAACTGGAGGCCAAGCCAGCATGATACTGCAACTACACACACACACACACACACACACACACACACACACACACACACACACACACACACACACACACACACACACACACACACACACACACACACACACACACACACACACCACACACACACACACACACACACACACACACACACACACACACACACACACACACACACACACACACACACACACACACACTACACACACACACACACACACACACACACACACACACACACACACACACACCACACACACACACACACACACACACACACACACACACACACACACACACACACACACACACACACACACACACACACACACACACACACACACACACACACACACACACACACACACACACACACACACACATTATGGAACAGATATATATATATATATGCTATCCTGGCTCCAAGATGGTGGAATGAGCTCCCCATTGACATCAGGACGGCAGATAGCTTGCACATCTTCCGGCGCAAACTGAAAACTCATCTCTTTCGACTCCACTTCGAGCGTTAGAACGATTAACGAAGCACTTTTATACCAATAAAGGACTGGATTACCTAAAGCCAGTTGAGTAGCACTTGAAATGTTGGCTCTATGAAACCTGATATACTTATATGATTCTGTTTTCTTCAAGGTTGTGTCTTCCTGGTCGAATGTACTTATTGTAAGTCGCTTTGGACAAAAGCGTCAGCTAAATGCAATGTAATGTAATGTAATATATATCTATATAACGGGTTCCTCTCATAGGCGGAAGGAACACAGCTGGGAGTATAGTGTTAGCATGTTAGCATGTTGGACCACTTGTAGGCCTGCAGCAGCTGGGAGTAGAGTGTTAGCATGTTAGCTTGTTGGACCACTTGTAGGGCTGCAGCAGCTGAAAGTAGAGTGTTAGCATGTTAGCATGTTAGCATGTTGGACCACTTGTAGGCCTGCAGCAGATGTGAGTATAGTGTTAGCATGTTAGCATGTTGGACCACTTGTAGGCCTGCAGCAGCTGGGAGTAGAGTGTTAGCATGTTAGCTTGTTGGACCACTTGTAGGCCTGCAGCAGATGGGAGTATAGTGTTAGCATGTTAGCATGTTGGACCACTTGTAGGCCTGCAGCAGTTGGGAGTAGAGTGTTAGCATGTTAGCTTGTTGGACCACTTGTAGGCCTGCAGTAGATGGGAGTAGAGTGTTAGCATGTTAGCATGTTAGCATGTTGGACCACTTGTAGGCCTGCAGCAGATGGGAGTAGAGTGTTAGCATGTTAGCATGTTAGCTTGTTGGACCACTTGTAGGCCTGCAGCAGATGGGAGTAGAGTGTTAGCATGTTAGCATGTTAGCTTGTTGGACCACGTGTAGGCCTGCAGCAGATGGGAGTAGAGTGTTAGCATGTTAGCATGTTAGCATGTTGGACCACTTGTAGGCCTGCAGCAGATGGGAGTAGAGTGTTAGCATGTTAGCATGTTAGCTTGTTGGACCACTTGTAGGCCTGCAGCAGATGGGAGTAGAGTGTTAGCATGTTAGCATGTTAGCTTGTTGGACCACTTGTAGGCCTGCAGCAGCTGGGAGTAGAGTGTTAGCATGTTAGCATGTTGGACCACTTGTAGGCCTGCAGCAGCTGGGAGTATATTGTTAGCATGTTAGCATGTTGGACCACTTGTAGGCCTGCAGCAGCTGGGAGTATATTGTTAGCATGTTAGCATGTTGGACCACTTGTAGGCCTGCAGCAGATGGGAGTAGAGTGTTAGCATGTTAGCATGTTAGCTTGTTGGACCACTTGTAGGCCTGCAGCAGCTGGGAGTATATTGTTAGCATGTTGGACCACGTGTAGGCCTGCAGCAGCTGGGAGTATAGTGTTAGCATGTTAGCTTGTTGGACCACTTGTAGGCCTGCAGCAGCTGGGAGTAGAGTGTTAGCATGTTAGCATGTTACCTTGTTGGACCACTTGTAGGCCTGCAGCAGCTGGGAGTATAGTGTTAGCATGTTAGCATGTTGGATCACTTGTAGGCCTGCAGCAGTTGGGAGTATAGTGTTAGCATGTTATCATGTTAGCATGTTGCACCACTTGTAGGCCTGCAGCAGCTGGGAGTATAGTGTTAGCATGTTAGCATGTTAGCTTGTTGGACCACTTGTAGGCCTGCAGTAGCTGGGAGTAGAGTGTTAGCATGTTAGCATGTTAGCTTGTTGGACCACTTGTAGGCCTGCAGCAGCTGGGAGTAGAGTGTTAACATGTTAGCATGTTAGCATGTTGGACCACTTGTAGGCCTGCAGCAGCTGGGAGTATAGTGTTAGCGTGTTAGCATGTTAGCTTGTTGGACCACTTGTAGGCCTGCAGCAGCTGGGAGTATAGTGTTAGCATGTTAGCATGTTGGACCACTTGTAGGCCTGCAGCAGCTGGGAGTATAGTGTTAGCATGTTAGCATGTTAGCTTGTTGGACCACTTGTAGGCCTGCAGCAGCTGGGAGTACAGTGTTAGCATGTTAGCATGTTACCTTGTTGGACCACTTGTAGGCCTGCAGCAGCTGGGAGTATAGTGTTAGCATGTTATCATGTTAGCATGTTGCACCACTTGTAGGCCTGCAGCAGCTGGGAGTATAGTGTTAGCATGTTAGCATGTTAGCTTGTTGGACCACTTGTAGGCCTGCAGTAGCTGGGAGTAGAGTGTTAGCATGTTAGCATGTTAGCTTGTTGGACCACTTGTAGGCCTGCAGCAGCTGGGAGTAGAGTGTTAACATGTTAGCATGTTAGCATGTTGGACCACTTGTAGGCCTGCAGCAGCTGGGAGTATAGTGTTGGCGTGTTAGCATGTTAGCTTGTTGGACCACTTGTAGGCCTGCAGCAGCTGGGAGTATAGTGTTAGCATGTTAGCATGTTGGACCACTTGTAGGCCTGCAGCAGCTGGGAGTATAGTGTTAGCATGTTAGCTTGTTGGACCACTTGTAGGCCTGCAGCAGCTGGGAGTACAGTGTTAGCATGTTAGCATGTTGGACCACTTGTAGGCCTGCAGCAGCTGGGAGTATAGTGTTAGCATGTTAGCTTGTTGGACCACTTGTAGGCCTGCAGCAGCTGGGAGTACAGTGTTAGCATGTTAGCATGTTACCTTGTTGGACCACTTGTAGGCCTGCAGCAGCTGGGAGTAGAGTGTTAGCATGTTAGCATGTTGGACCACTTGTAGGCCTGCAGCAGCTGGGAGTATAGTGTTAGCATGTTAGCATGTTGGACCACTTGTAGGCCTGCAGCAGCTGGGAGTATAGTGTTAGCATGTTAGCATGTTGGACCACTTGTAGGCCTGCAGCAGCTGGGAGTAGAGTGTTAGCATGTTAGCTTGTTGGACCACTTGTAGGCCTGCAGCAGCTGGGAGTAGAGTGTTAGCATGTTAGCATGTTGGACCACTTGTAGGCCTGCAGCAGCTGGGAGTATAGTGTTAGCATGTTAGCATGTTAGCTTGTTGGACCACTTGTAGGCCTGCAGCAGCTGGGAGTAGAGTGTTAGCATGTTAGCTTGTTGGACCACTTGTAGGCCTGCAGCAGCTGGGAGTACAGTGTTAGCATGTTAGCATGTTGGACCACTTGTAGGCCTGCAGCAGATGGGAGTACAGTGTTAGCATGTTAGCATGTTAGCATGTTGGACCACTTGTAGGCCTGCAGCAGCTGGGAATATAGTGTTAGCATGTTAGCATGTTACCTTGTTGGACCACTTGTAGGCCTGCAGCAGCTGGGAGTATAGTGTTAGCATGTTAGCATGTTACCTTGTTGGACCAGTTGTAGGCCTGCAGCAGCTGGGAGTACAGTGTTAGCATGTTAGCATGTTGGACCACTTGTAGGCCTGCAGCAGCTGGGAGTATAGTGTTAGCATGTTAGCATGTTGGACCACTTGTAGGCCTGCAGCAGCTGGGAGTAGAGTGTTAGCATGTTAGCATGTTAGCTTGTTGGACCACTTGTAGGCCTGCAGCAGCTGGGAGTACAGTGTTAGCATGTTAGCATGTTGGACCACTTGTAGGCCTGCAGCAGCTGGGAGTACAGTGTTAGCATGTTAGCATGTTGGACCACTTGTAGGCCTGCAGCAGCTGGGAGTATAGTGTTAGCATGTTACCTTGTTGGACCACTTGTAGGCCTGCAGCAGCTGGGAGTATAGTATTAGCATGTTAGCATGTTAGCATGTTGGACCACTTGTAGGCCTGCAGCAGCTGGGAGTATAGTGTTAGCATGTTAGCTTGTTGGACCACTTGTAGGCCTGCAGCAGCTGGGAGTAGAGTTTTAGCATGTTAGCATGTTAGCATGTTGGACCACTTGTAGGCCTGCAGCAGCTGGGAGTATAGTGTTAGCATGTTAGCATGTTAGCTTGTTGGACCACTTGTAGGCCTGCAGCAGATGGGAGTATAGTGTTAGCATGTTAGCATGTTGGACCACTTGTAGGCCTGCAGCAGCTGGGAGTATAGTGTTAGCATGTTAGCATGTTAGCTTGTTGGACCACTTGTAGGCCTGCAGCAGATGGGAGTATAGTGTTAGCATGTTAGCATGTTGGACCACTTGTAGGCCTGCAGCAGCTGGGAGTATAGTGTTAGCATGTTAGCTTGTTGGACCACTTGTAGGCCTGCAGCAGCTGGGAGTACAGTGTTAGCATGTTAGCATGTTAGCTTGTTGGACCACTTGTAGGCCTGCAGCAGCTGGGAGTAGAGTGTTAGCATGTTAGCATGTTAGCATGTTGGACCACTTGTAGGCCTGCAGCAGCTGGGAGTATAGTGTTAGCATGTTAGCTTGTTGGACCACTTGTAGGCCTGCAGCAGCTGGGAGTAGAGTGTTAGCATGTTACCTTGTTGGACCACTTGTAGGCCTGCAGCAGATGGGAGTATAGTGTTAGCATGTTAGCATGTTAGCATGTTGGACCACTTGTAGGCCTGCAGCAGCTGGGAGTAGAGTGTTAGCATGTTACCTTGTTGGACCACTTGTAGGCCTGCAGCAGCTGGGAGTAGAGTGTTAGCATGTTAGCATGTTACCTTGTTGGACCACTTGTAGGCCTGCAGCAGCTGGGAGTAGAGGGGAGTTTTATCTTGGACCGGATCCAGACTCAGGAGCCCACTGTTGTGCAGAGGGTGAGACTCTGAGGGACGACCAACGAGACCACTGAGACGCTCCAGCTCACTGAGAGAGACAGACAGGAGGAGAGAGACAGGTGAGAGGAGGACAGACAAGAGGAGAGAGACAGGTGAGAGGAGGACAGACAGGAGGAGAGAGACAGGTGAGAGGAGGATACACAGACAGACAGACAGACAGACAGACAGACAGACAGACAGACAGACAGACAGACAGACAGACAGGGGAGAGAGAGAGGGAGAGTTAGGGGTTGTTTTCTGACACTTTGAGTCTCCTCACACCGGGGACACACACCTGACTCAGAGACAGTTTCAGGACTAAAACCACCAGACTCAGGAACAGTTTCAGGACTAAAACCACCAGACTCAGGTACAGTTTCAGGACTAAAACCACCAGACTCAGGGACAGTTTCAGGACTAAAACCACCAGACTCAGAGACAGCATCAGGACTAAAACCACCAGACTCAGGTACAGTTTCAGGACTAAAATCACCAGACTCAGGGACAGTTTCAGGACTAAAACCACCAGACTCAGAGACAGCATCAGGACTAAAACCACCAGACTCAGAGACAGCATCAGGACTAAAACCACCAGACTCAGGGACAGTTTCAGGACTAAAACCACCAGACTCAGGAGCAGTTTCAGGACTAAAACCACCAGACTCAGGTACAGTTTCAGGACTAAAACCACCAGACTCAGGGACAGTTTCAGGACTAAAACCACCAGACTCAGGAACAGTTTCAGGACTAAAACCACCAGACTCAGGAACAGTTTCAGGACTAAAACCACCAGACCCAGGGACAGTTTCAGGACTAAAACCACCAGACTCAGGGACAGTTTCAGCTCTAAAACCACCAGACTCAGGGACAGTTTCAGGACTAAAACTAACAGACTCAGGGACAGTTTCAGGACTAAAACCACCAGACTCAGGGACAGTTTCAGGACTAAAACCACCAGACTCAGGAACAGTTTCAGGACTAAAACCACCAGATTCAGGGACAGCATCAGGACTAAAACCACCAGACTAAGGGACAGTTTCAGGTCTAAAACCACCAGACTCAGGGACAGTTTCAGGACTAAAACCACCAGACTCAGGGACAGTTTCAGGACTAAAACCACCAGACTCCGGGACAATTTCAGGACTAAAACCACCAGACTCAGGAACAGTTTCAGGACTAAAACCACCAGACTCCGGGACAATTTCAGGACTAAAACCACCAGACTCAGGAAGAGTTTCAGGTCTAAAACCACCAGACTTAGGGACAGTTTCAGGACTAAAACCACCAGACTCAGACACAGCATCAGGACTAAAACCACCAGACTCAGAGACAGCATCAGGACTACAACCACCGCACTCGGGGACAGTTTCAGGTCTAAAACCACCAGACTCAGAGACAGCATCAGGACTAAAACCACCAGACTCTGGGACAGTATCAGGTCTAAAACCTCCAGACTCAGGGACAGTTTCAGGACTAAAACCACCAGACTCAGGGACAGCATCAGGACTAAAACCACCAGACTCAGGGACAGTTTCAGCACTAAAACCACCAGACTCAGGGACAGTTTCAGGTCTAAAACCACCAGACTCAGGGACAGCATCAGGACTAAAACCACCAGACTCAGAGACAGTTTCAGGACTAAAACCACCAGACGCAGGGACAGTTTCAGGACTAAAACCACCAGACTCAGAGACAGTTTCAGCATTAAAACCACCAGACTCAGGGACAGTTTCAGGACTAAAATCACCAGACTCGGGGACAGTTTCAGGTCTAAAACCACCAGACTCAGAGACAGCATCAGGACTAAAACCACCAGACGCAGGAGCAGTTTCAGGACTAAAACCACCAGACTCAGGAACAGTTTCAGGACTAAAACCAACAGACTCAGAGACAGCATCAGGACTAAAACCACCAGACTCAGGAACAGTTTCAGGACTAAAACCACCAGACTCAGGAACAGTTTCAGGACTAAAACCACCAGACTCAGGAACAGTTTCAGGACTAAAACCACCAGACTCAGGGACAGTTTCAGGACTAAAACCAACAGACTCAGAGACAGCATCAGGACTAAAACCACCAAACTCAGAGACAGCATCAGGACTAAAACCACCAGACTCAGGAACAGTTTCAGGACTAAAACCACCAGACTCAGGGACAGTTTCAGGTCTAAAACCACCAGACTCAGGGACAGTTTCAGGACTAAAACCACCAGACTCAGGAACAGTTTCAGGACTAAAACCACCAGACTCAGGGACAGTTTCAGGTCTAAAACCACCAGACTCAGGGACAGTTTCAGGACTAAAACCACCAGACTCAGGGACAGTTTCAGGACTAAAACCACCAGACTCAGAGACAGCATCAGGACTAAAACCACCAGACTCAGGAACAGTTTCAGGACTAAAACCACCAGACTCAGAGACAGTTTCAGGACTAAAACCACCAGACTCAGGGACAGTTTCAGGACTAAAACCACCAGACTCAGAGACAGCATCAGGACTAAAACCACCAGACTCAGGAACAGTTTCAGGACTAAAACCACCAGACTCAGGAACAGTTTCAGGACTAAAACCACCAGACTCAGGAACAGTTTCAGGACTAAAACCACCAGACTCAGGAACAGTTTCAGGACTAAAACCACCAGACTCAGGGACAGTTTCAGGTCTAAAACCACCAGACTCAGGGACAGTTTCAGGTCTAAAACCACCAGACTCAGGGACAGTTTCAGGACTAAAACCACCAGACTCAGGAACAGTTTCAGGTCTAAAACCACCAGACTCAGGGACAGTTTCAGGTCTAAAACCACCAGACTCAGGGACAGTTTCAGGACTAAAACCACCAGACTCAGGGACAGTTTCAGGTCTAAAACCACCAGACTCAGGGACAGTTTCAGGACTAAAACCACCAGACTCAGGAACAGTTTCAGGACTAAAAACCACCAGACTCAGAGACAGCATCAGGACTAAAACCACCAGACTCAGAGACAGCATCAGGACTAAAACCACCAGACTCAGAGACAGCATCAGGACTAAAACCACCAAACTCAGAGACAGTTTCAGGTCTAAAACCACCAGACTCAGAGACAGCATCAGGACTAAAACCAACAAACTCAGAGACAGTTTCAGGTCTAAAACCACCAGACTCAGAGACAGCATCAGGACTAAAACCAACAAACTCAGAGACAGTTTCAGGTCTAAAAACACCAGACTCAGAGACAGCATCAGGACTAAAACCACCAGACTCAGAGACAGCATCAGGACTAAAACCACCGCACTCTGGGACAGTTTCAGGTCTAAAACCTCCGGACTCAGGGACAGTTTCAGGACTAAACCCACCAGACTCAGGGACAGCATCAGGACTAAAACCACCAGACTCAGGGACAGTTTCAGGACTAAAACCACCAGACTCAGGGACAGTTTCAGGACTAAAACCACCAGACTCAGAGACAGCATCAGGACTAAAACCACCAGACTCAGAGACAGCATCAGGACTAAAACCACCAGACTCAGGGACAGCATCAGGACTAAAACTACCAGACTCAGGGACAGTTTCAGGACTAAAACCACCAGACACAGGGACAGTTTTAGGTCTAAAACCACCAGACTCAGAGACAGCATCAGGACTAAAACCACCAGACTCTGACAATTTCAGGTCACAATAATTTACATTTTTTTACTGTGTTCAATCTGAATCTACTTTAAAATAAAAACATCTATATTGATTCTGACTTTTCTACATCTAACTCACAGGTTTATCATTACTTTGAGAAACAAGATTATTAATTTAACCCTTTTAGAAGATATGGTCATTTGTTCTGGGAATGTCATCTTCGAGTCTGAGACCTGAAAAACAGGCTTGGGGCTTAACAGGTTAAATACCTGCCACAACATAAGTAACCGGATCAAAGTAACATTACGTACAGTCCGCGGCACTGTGAGTGCAGACGTCGATGTGTCCCATTATCACATCATAAAGCTATCTGCTGTCCTGATGTCAATGGGGAGCTCATTCCACCATCTTGGAGCCAGGATAGCAAACCCACGTGTTTCTGCTGATGGGAACTTGGGTCCCACTCGCAGCGAGGGTGCAGCAAGCTGTTTGGCTGATGCAGAGCGGAGTGCACGTGCCGGGGTGTACGGTTTAACCATGTCCTGGATGTAGGAAGGGCCAGATCCATTCGCAGCATGGTACGCAAGTACCAGTGTCTTGAAGTGGATTCTAGCAGTTACTGGAAGCCAGTGAAGGGAGCGGAGGAGCGGAGTGGTGTGAGAACATTTAGGAAGGTTGAAGACCAGACGAGCCGCTGCATTCTGGATGAGCTGCAGAGGTCTGATGGCACATGCAGGTAGACCAGCCAGGAGGGAGTTGCAGTAGTCTAGGCATGAGATGATGAGAGTCTGGACCAGAACCTGCGTGGCTTTCTGGGTCAGCTGGTGACGTATCCTCCTGATGTTGTAAAGCGTGTATCTGCAGCAACGGGTTGTAGCAGCGATGTTTGCAGTGAAGGACAGGTTGTTATCTAGGGTCACACCCAGATTCCTTGCAGTCTGAGTCGGGGAAACAACTGAGGGGCCGATGTTGATTGTTAGGTCAAGAGTGGGACAATCTTTTCCCCGAAGGAAAAGCAGTTCAGTTTTGTCAAGGTTGAGCTTGAGGTGGTGAGCAGACATCCACTGAGAGATGTCAGCTAGACTAGCAGAGATGCGTGCGACGACCTGGGTCTCTGAGCGGGGAAAGGACAGAATTAAATTGGGTGTCGTCAGCGTAGCAGTGGTATGAAAAACCATGCGGGCTAATGACTGATCCGAGCGAGTTTGTGTACAAGGAGAAGAGGAGGGGACCAAGAACAGAGCCCTGAGGGACCCCTGTAGTTAATTGACAAGGGTAGGA